GAAAAAGAATTCTTATCCTTAGTCTATGCATTGGTAAAATGGAGAGAATTTTTATTCGGAAGAAAAGTTAAGGTTTTCACTGATCATTCTGCATTGCAATATTATAAATCATTTAAAGGAGCTTCATCTAGACTCACCAGACTCTCGAATTTAATATGTGACTACGACCTGGAAATTACTCACAAGGCAGGTAAATCCTTAGTCTTGCCTGACTTCTTAAGCAGAAATCCGGTTGACAAGACTATAGAAGAGGATTTCACTTTCAACCTTACTTCAGTAAATGCCCTTCATCTCGTGGACTTGAAGAAATTGCAAGCTCAGGACGATGACCTAAAATGCATCTTACTTGCTTTGGAAAATCCTGATCTTGTGGAACAAAAGTACAGGAAAATGGCCACGTATTACAAGACGGAGAATGGTGTACTCTACCGAATGTACAACGATTCTGATCCTCACAGACATGTTATAGCAATACCACGAAAACTCGTCAACAACATCCTTCAGGAGTACCACAATTCACCGTTATCAGGAGGACATCTAAGTAAATTCAAGACTCTCGGAAAAATCAAAGAAAGATATCATTGGATTGGTATGTCAACAGATGTCGAAAACTACGTGAAAACCTGCGAAAGTTGTCAGAAAAGAAAGAACTCTCCGAAGAAGAAGTATGGCTTCCTTAATCCTATCCCTCCCACTAACAAAATATTTGAACGAATCCAACTTGACATAATTGGTCCATTAAATCCTAGCAATAGATATAAATACATTTTAACAGTAACTGATGCCTGTAGTCGATTTGCATTTGCTTTCCCACTTGTAGTTGCAGATGGTAAATCAATCGTAAAACGTCTCTTAAAACTAATTTGTACTTATGGAACACCTTCTATTATACAATCAGATAGAGGTACTGAATTTAACAACAATTTGATTCGTGACTTAACCACAGCAATAGGTACATGCCAAATTCTAAGTAGTGCTTTCACACCACAAGTAAATGGACAAGTAGAAAACTTTAATAACACGTTGATAAATATGATTTCTCATTATGTAGCTGAAAAACCAAACGCATGGTCACAATACATTGACTATGTACTTTTTGCTTACAATAACAGTAAACACCAGACAACCAAGTACAAATCTTCGTACTTATTTTTAGGCTTTGAGCCAAGTTTTCCAAGTGATACTTTGTTTGTAAATCCAAATGTAGAAAAAGATCTGTTAGAAAACTTAAGAATTGTAAATGAAATTAGGGACACAATACCTTCTATCATAGCTAGTGAACAAAAGAAACAAAAAATGTATTACGATAGGAATAGGAGAGACTTAATCTTACACCCAGGAGACCAAGTTCTCATATGGTACCCTAAAAATTTGAGGGAAAATCAAACCAAATTTTCTTACCGCTACAAAGGTCCTTATACTGTATTAAAACAAGTTACACCAGTCTCATATCTAGTGGAAATCTTAAAAAATGGAAAACTTGTCAAAGAAGTAATTCATGTCTCCCGAATGAAAGTTTTTCAAACAAGACTTGTAAATTAAAAATATTTAGTTACATTAGGTCAATAGATACTATGTTTATTTTATAAGATAATTTTGGTAACATACAATAATTCATAAAAATATTTCACAAGTTAGCTATTTAACTGATTTTGATTTATTGCTACACAAAATAATTAACCACAATACATATATGATTCATATGCTTTGACCTTACCTAGTATTCACTTAGGTTTAGTTAGTCATACGTAAGCAATGTGTATTCTAAGAAACAATTAGTACGTCTACTCCCGAAGCACACGCACTCCCGCAAACTTGTGTAAATATTATGTAAATAATGTGTAGCTACACAAAACTCAAGTGTTAAGTCGACTTTTAATACAAAGATATCGCGTGGCCACGCAGACACACACAGACAATCGTAATCAAGTATACCATTGTGACTGTATTTTTAGTTCTTATTACAAGCAACTAACTTACACGTTGGACACTTGTGATTTTACTAGTGCGCGTAAGAAGAATGATAGTTAGTGACATTTAGTGACAAACAAGCTGGTTTGGTGTACAGCACAAGGACAAACTCCACTCAACGAGAAGTAATTAAGGATTGATCACCCTTAGTTATTCACTCAAAAATGTCTTTACAACTCTCTAGATTATTAAGGAAAGAAAGGACTTTCACGCAAGAATTCATAAATAATTAAAATAAAACATTTATGTTCAAAACTCCTATAACAAAGTGTCGTCTTAAAGTAATTGTGAACCAAATACCATTTTGAACATTATGTGTCTAACAACATCAGGTATCATACAAGTGTCATATTTTAAGTTCCATGTAACATACATTTCAAACAACTAAATATTCATTACAATAAGTAGATAGATAGTCTTATTAGGGAAAGCATATGAATCGATTAAAATTGTATGTTACCAAGTACCAACATTTGTGAATAAAACTATTTCAACATGTAATAATTCCACTGTTAAGTAAGTTTCAGCAGTTAAAGAGTCCCTGAAGCCAACACCAAGTACAAGGTCACCGCAACACGACATGACTTCATCGCCATCGCATAGTCAGCACTCGCCGTCCATTCAACCCCGACGCCGTGATGCTGCCCATTTCACCGTCCCAGCTCTGCTCGCCGCTATCCTTCTCATATGGCAACCTACTCTATCAGCTGGCGCGGAAATTCCAACGCATATCGTGACCGGAATAATTTAATGAAGTCTCATAAATCGTAACTCCATATCATTCTGTTGCGCCACTAAAATAACCCAATCGATCCCTAAATCTCATAAAACATTTTATTAGTCTGGATAATAATATTAACAATCTTATTCATTATTTCAGCATATTTCATCCACAAACTCAATATTAAAATGAATCTAATCACAAAACCTCAAACCCCTCAGAAAGACTATTAATGTAACAAAGTGTTACCCAGAATAAACCATAAATAATCTCAACATCAAAAAATAATTTATAATAATAAATGTAAAAAAATAAAAACATCTTAACAAACAGCTAATATTTAAATAGTTCAAAATTAATGAAACAAACAATTAACTTAAGGAGACTCGATGGGGCGAAAGAAGACGTGAGCGACTATGAGCTATACACCACCAGCTCATTCTACCGCGTCGCTGGAAGGGTCGCGAAACAAGAAAATGCGCCGATCCTCAAGATCGCGTCGCGTCGCAGGAAGGGGGGAAGAAGAGTCGGAACGCACATCAAGATATCCGTTCGATTCCCACCTTCGCGATTGATGTTTCCGCGTATCTCCTTAAGTTGTTTTTTTTTTCTTTTTTATTGTCAACCGGTGGTAGGTTGACGTTTTAACCAGGGGGGTGTAAGAAAGGGGATTAACCCCGTACCCACGGTGCTCATCTATGCAGACACTCTGTTCACATTACACTTAGTCGACCAGTTGGTGTGAACAGAGTTGAACAGTAGCATGAGCATCGATTTACAAATTCCTTTCCCAGCTGATGTGAGCTAGGCGATGACCGGTAGGGCTGACTTCCAAGAAACACCGTTAACCTATTAGCCACACACCCTATCGGTAATCAGCCAATGAGAAGGGCTAATGATGAAGATGGAGGGGTCAAGACTCTTGGAGCTGGAGGATCTGAAGGAAAACATCGGGGAGATCACCACGGGCCACCGGAGAAAGAAGATCGGGAGTTTGGGAGTGCGTGTATCGGTGTGTGTGCTTCTGGGACAATAGACAGTATGTAGAAAGAATAAAATATCTAACTAACACTTTGTCAAACATAAAAGTCATATAATTTGTCAGTAACTAATTCTTTTATATTTTCAATTGATTTTCTTTTCTTGTAAATTTAACGTTGCAAATTAATTTATCTTATTATTGTTGTTTTTTGCATTTTCAAAGTTTTCTTTTGCTGTTGTAACACTTTTAACTTTTGTTGTTTTCGTAATTTAAATTTTTGTTCATTACACGTTGAGTAACACCCTTAAGCAGTCTTATGTCTCATTAACCTAACACCTCTTGACTAAGCTAAGCGAGTGAATCATTTTAGGTAACTTAAACTTAAAAGTGAGGCATGGGACTCGCAATATATATATATTGTACACAGAATTTGTATACAAGAAAAGGATAAATAATAAAAAACTAGTTTACAAGATAAATATATACAAAACGATACAGTGTATGAAAAATTAATGCACGCATATATCACGCGTTCAGTTTGCACGTTAAAAATGTAGGAAATTAATTAAGAGGCAATAGGTTAAAGAACTAAAATAGAGTATGTTTGAGTCGCTAGATTTGAGAATAAAGTGTCCAAAAATAAAATCTTTAACAGTTTCATGGTTTACTAACACTTAAATAATTTTTATTTTCATAAATTGATGTATTAACAAAATAATAGTAAAATATTCAGATCTTTCCTGAATGTCTGGGTAACATCAATCTTAGATTTAGTGGGTGAGCGCCATCAACGGATTGAAAATTATAATAGACCTAATCTGTTGGTGTTGTGGCTCATAAAATTACGATAAATAATAAAGGAAGTGGACAGTCAATGTAGGTATATTTCGATATGATTTATGCCTACTGTATTTGGGTTTTGTAAGATGTGAATCAAAATTTGAAAGTCCATGTATTACGTCCGTTTTAGGAATGAGATTATGGTTGTGCATTATGTGGCGTCTCCATATTAAATAATTGATTGATTGATTGTGCCTTTTCACGTCAGATTAAAAAGGTATAGGGCTTGGTGAAGTGCTTTACAATATTTCACAGCAGAGGGTTAGGATAAATAACGTAATTGAAAAACCAAGTTGTGCTATGGTAAACGATGAGTTGATTAGGTCGTTTTACAAGAAAGCAAGTTTATATACAGTAAGTGCATGTACTCTTTAGTTGAAACTTTCTTACTTTAACTTTTCTTTTGGTCTGTCTAACCTGCACGATTGTTTGATCGATCAGCTGGGCTGTGGCTTGTTTGGTTTGGTTGGATTTGTCATTGCCCAGGCCCAAACCCAAACAAACAAATTCAAACCGGAGAAATTAGAATGATAATTTTATTTTCTTTCCAAAATATTTAATTTATTATTGTATACAGAAATCGTAATCCAAGTTTTTTAGTTGTACAAACACAGAATACGATTTTGGTAAGTTGATATGGAACTGTTTTATGGAAATATGATCCCATCCTAGTTCTATCTGAAAGCCTAGTCTAGTCTGCTAAGTTAACAATAATAAACTATAAGTTAAGCTAAATGTACATAACTTTTTAAACATTGTGCTACTATCGAATGTTCATAAAACAGATTAGGAAAACAAGAGGCAGGAAACTAATCCAATTGGCCTAATTAGGAAGTACTAGGCCTAAGTACTCATCGCGTTCAATTATTGCTAACTTATTGCAATGCAATTTGTTTGTTAGTTCAATTCCTGGATAGGCAATTAAAGTCTAGGCCTAATGAGCACTTATGTTCTGTTACGGTTTACCTTTATTATACATGGTATTCGAGGTTAAATTTCTGCAAATTGATAGAACATGACTAAAACCTACTGAAAACTATTACCCATCCTCTCATTTTATGAAATAGGCCGAACTTATCATTTTCCCTAATCATAGACAATTTGAGCTAGGCCTATAGCACAACAAATAGGAGTTAAACAGAAGTTATGACTACATATACAGTACTTAGTATTCAATTAGTATTTGGAATGCACCTTCTGAGTAGCTGTTAACTGCACCTACTTAAATAGGTCCTAGCTATTTAAGTAAATTACGGTAAGTTACATTCCTAAAATAGGCTTATTCCAAGCAAAAATAATTTTATAATTTTTATGTGTGATATAAAATTTAATGTAGGCTACTTAATGGCAAAATAATTTGACAACCATATTTTGCTAGTGTTGAAAGCTAGGCCGTGCTTTAAATTACCGGTATATATGCACAGTAGAACCTCTCTCAGGACTAGGAGCGTGATGGTTAAGGGAATAGACAAACATCCCGTTAAGTAAGTTAGGTTTAACATAGATTTAAAAGGTTTTAGAAAAAATTAAACCCTGGTCATTAAGCTCAAGGTAATTACGGTAACCGCGGACAGTCAAGTTCAACCACAATGGTGTATTCACTTTCTGCTGTGCTGTGCACACATTAAGTGCTGTGGCAGGGTGACGGATTTAACAAAGAGACGGTTAAAAGGGTTACGGTTGAACAAGTTTCTACTGAACTTTTCAGATCATCTTTTCCACACTGAACCTTGTTGATTATAAGTTAGCCTACTGTTATTTGTTTAAGATTTGATGGAGAGTTAATATGGAGAGGTACAATGAGTACGGAGTCAACTTGTGATGAAACAACCAGCTCGAGCCAGCAGTCTACTACCGCTTCTACTTGCACCTCACCCAGCTTCCTACAAGAGTCATACTCGTACAGCTCCTCCAGCCAGGCTACTCCAGTGTCTGGGTCTTTACAATGCTACAGCAATATCAGCACTAGCAGGGAAAATGGTAAGTTAAGATGATTCATTCTAATAGGCCTAAGTTAAAGTCTCCTAACATTTTTATGCGGTTAAAATATGCTTTGCCTGAAGGTCACTCATCGCTCATGGTACTCTCGGTTGAATTGGCTTGTGCGATCATGGTGGAGGGTGTGGGCAACTGGGACTGCTGGTCGCAAGCTCAGAACGGTCTTTCTAGCTAAAAATAATTAGGTCTAAGTTACCTAGATCGATTTGCAGTCAATATCATACTAGAAATGAATGGTGAAAATTGAGTGAGCCCTGTAGGTCTTGGCAAACTCGGTCTAGTTATGATGAAGTGTGACAAGTGTTCCCAGGCTAGTAAGTATGATGTAAATATAAAACTATCCGGATACCATGCAAATGATATAGAAATATCTTCTTTTATAAAACTTAATGCAATCCAACAACATTTAGCTGATTTAAACATTTTATTAAATAAACAAAAAACTAAATATAGGTATTAATTTTTCCGCTTCAAATAGGAAAAGTGGGTCTGTGGTAAAGAATGTTTGTCTTAATGATTCCTTTATTGATGAAGTTAAGGAAACAAAATTCCTTGGTTTAACTGTTGATAGACTTCTTAGCTGGAACACTCATGTATCTCAAGTTTGTAAAAAAATGTCAACAGGTATTTTCATCCTTAAAAAGTTATCACCATTTTGTGATATTAAAACCCTTAAAGCAGTTTATTTTGCTTTTGTGCACTCTCATGTCTCTTTTGGTTTGTCGGTTTATGGTAACACCTCTAATGAAAATTTAAACATGATACTTATATTACAAAAAAAAAGCAATAAGAATAATAATGAAACTTAAGTGGTTTGAGTCAGCCAGAGAACATTTTTCAAATTTAGGAATAATGACAGTTTACAACCAATTAATCTATGATCTGATTCTGTGGATAAAAAAAAATCAAAATAGTCATTGTTGTTTTAATAGACATAAGCTAACATTTTATGAGAAGAAGCCAACATATTCAGGCATCGAATTTTATAATTCATTACCAGAAAACATAAAATGTATAACTGATTTTGGGTCCTTCAAAAAGAAATTGAAGTCATTTATTATTGTTAAACCTTTGTACAGTTTTAATGAATTTTTTTAAGCATATGTCGTCTGTAACAGTTAATTTAATTTCTTACAGTGATTATAATTTTAATTTATTATTGTATTATATATACTTGTACTTACTAGTTTATAATAGTACTTGTTGACGCCATTCTGTACTCTATGTGTACATAATGAATAAAGAAAATTTTGATTTGATTTGATTTGATTTGATTAAGTTAGTAGGCCTATCTGAATACCAGATGAGGTTTTTAGTGAATCGTCTACGGGTTGCTATGTCCATTCATCGAATATTCCTAAACAAAGCGTCTAGCTCATGAAATTGAAGCAATACTGTGAGTTTATTAAAACTAATTTTGTAATATTTAACTTGTTTTGTTTTGTTACAGAAATTTATGTGACTCTAAATAAGATCAAAAGTCCCAACCTCCTTGGACATGATGAGGAAAACAAACTCAAGCCCAAAAAGTCAGCGGCGTCGAGCAAATGTCCGAGTGCTGTGGCGCAGAGGAAAAAAAGGAAGAAGAAAAAGTATGTCTAAAAAGCTGTTCATATGCCAATTTTTCTTTTAAGGGTTTATGTAATGGTGTGCGATATTTTATATTTTTGTATACCGTACAGTATTATAATGGTATTATTTAAGATGATCAGTTCTATTGAAATATGTGTCTGTTTGTGACAGAAAAATTACATTGCTATTATTTAAGGGACCTTTATATCTTTTCAAAGTATTTTAAGACTTTTAAAATCAGAATTATTAATGTCAACTGTAGGGTTTTTGTGTAAAACTCAGCGAAACGTTGATTGTATTGGAATGTTTTACAGGGGCCCTACACGTATATATTTAACCTCAAATGTGACAGTAACATCAGTGGTTGTTGTTTCAAGTATGTAGCGTTTTTGGCTTGCTTGGTTTTCAGTAGGCAATAGAAATATCAGGAAAAATGCAACGTGTTGTACTTAGTACATCTGACAAACTTAAAATATAAATCAGCTGAAAAACAAGTGGTTCAAGCTTTGCTCGTGAGTTTGGTGTTGGGAACTTGACAATTACTGACGTAAAAAACAGTGCAGACAAAGCTATTGCCTGTGCTAGACAGTGAGGATAGAAGCCTGCACATTATACTAGCATAGGCCTACTATGCTTAACGCTTAGCTTATATGCAATACTGAGTGTGCTATGCTAATAAAGCTCTATGTAGGCCCTATCTAATCATGGTGATATGGTCATATATATTAAAGATCTTGATCACAGAAGCATTGCAGTAAATTAAAGTTTCTACAATGATCACAATTTTTGTTTTGTTTGTAGCTCAAATAATACACTTTATGCCAAGATTAAGAGATTGTAATTACGCTTAATGTATGACTATCCGAACAATTTATTATCCGAACATCCCTCTGTCCCAATTGTTTCGGATAACCGTCGCTCTACTGTAATACATCCCTGCCTATTACTAGTTCAATAAAGGAATGATGACCTAACACTTGTTTCAGAGCTACAATATGCACATCCTACTGCAAGTACGACATTATACGAAGGATCGCATCCAGCCTGGGCATGAGGGAAGTAGGAGAACGAGACCTATGGAACCTTATGTGGACTGACAGCTTCATATCTGTAGAACGAGCTAAGGAAATGAGGAGATTCCAGGTTATACATACAAATATGTGTAGAAGGGTAAAAGGGATACTGGGTAATTTTTAGCAAAACCAATCACTGTTTCAGAAACCCGAGAAATGACAACTTTGTTTCTTGCCTATCATGGACTAGAATGAATTTTTATATTATACTAGTTAGGGTCCACAGATTGGAATAGTTCTTTTTACCCTATTGTATATCTAAGTGTCCTGCCATTTTGACTGTTTAACTTTCCTTTGGGATATAAACCTACTGTAACGTTTCGTTAATAAATAGTTTGACAAGCGTAAAATTTTTTAGTTCTAAGTTTTAAGTTGTATTTGCTACACCTGATGTGACAACACCAATGTAATAGAAGTTAGTCAAATAATGATAACATAGGCCACATTTTTGACTTGTAAAGGAAGAGACATGTATCAGTATTCAGATTCGTAAATCCAGCTTTAAGCTCGTAAATTGTGGCACCAATAGGACCAAACGTAGTAAAATTTACACAAGGTTCTATATTAAGTCGTAGGTACACGTTTATTCCATGTTAGTTTTGTAAAACTAAAAACCATTACACAAATCCTTGTAGTATTATCAAATTGAAATCATTGTGCAAAGTAACTGCACTTGTGGAATAATGCGTAGAATCCTGCTTTGAAACAAAATCATCAACAAACAGCACAAGATGTCATAGAACACAACCACCTACCATTTCATCCACACACAAACATATTGTATATTGCTGTCAATCATAAACCATTCGTTGCTTAAATAAAAAATAAATTAATTTAACACCAAACACATTTTATTTTTTTACAGTGAGTACATTTTGGAAGTTTTTTTTTAGGTGAAAGGAACCTACACATATTTAATACACGGTCGTAACTCGGAAGATATTAAAATATCTTCCATTATAATGTTTTTATTTGACAATTTCCCTGTTGAAAGTAATTTCAACAAATTCATATTTAAAATTGAAATAGTTGTTAAAATTAGTTTTTGTTTAGTGAATATCATATTTTGAAAACTTCAACAATATCTGTACAGCTACTGATTTTTTCAGAAAGTAAATCATTTTCCTGGAATGTCCGAAATTTGTCGCAAAGATCTGCTCGCACGAAATCTTAATCGCATGCTCAAATTCTTTCCAAAAGAATATAACTTCTTTCCCAAAACTTGGTGTCTTCCTTCTGAGTAAGTTTTTGTAGGTCCAGAATTATTGTTTTATTTAGATTTTCAGATTTATTGCACATTTTCTAATCTTTTACATTTTGTAAATTTAGCTCTCACCCTTTGCAACCCATTTCATATTGCACCAGCTGTTCATTTTTAGTTTGATTGCGATTAGCAGAAAGTTATAACTTATAACATAATCGGTTTTTACGATTATGGCTAAAAAGTCCTACGATGTGAAGGAAAAACAATAAAAATGCTATTCCTCATATTTTCAATATTCTTATTGTTAACCTGATTTTTTCAAAATTTTAATCAAAATTCTGCTCACTATGCGACGGTTGAGAAGATATAAAACAGGTTATTTTCAGTAGGTATAAAAGAGGACTTTGAGCAGTTTTAGGGTTGTTTAAATCACAGAATGAAATAGCTCTGTTGCCTTGGTTAGGTTTGTAGTAACAATTTCTTAAAGTAAAAATATTAAATGATCGACAATCCTAGGCAATGGATTTTTTGCTCAAGAAACAATCTTGTTTTTCTAATCCAAATACTGATGATTTAAAAAATATTCATGCTTTTGCAATCTAATTTTGAAATTTAAGGATCGTTTAGAAAATAGTCTTCATGCTTAGATAGCTACATAATTGTTTGTGCTTGTGTTGTACAGTTCTGTAGATATGCACAGTATTGGATTTAATATGTAAGCTAGAACATACTAGTGTAGGCTTATATTAGTTAAATATTTGTTATTTATAAGCTCGGAAATGGTAAGTCATTTTGAAGTTCTCACTTTTTTTCATTAATATTTCAATTCCTGCATTGTTAAATTCTTCGTATTTTTAGTGTTTTTAAATAAGAAACATTTTATTATTCTATTTTAGTCTACTGTAAGTGCTTCCTTGAGAATACAAGAGGTCAACACAAATCTGATTAAAACTCACTTTGCACTTGGTTAGTTGTGGGTTCATAAACCTATACATATTTACTTACCCTTATTTAGTAGTTTCCAACAACGAAGGTCTTCTTGCAAACCGCTTTGGACTTCGATCCACTGCAACTTGTACTATCCACATTTGCTGGTGTACAAATAGTTTTACGGCTTCTATAGATTATTTTATAGTTTAAGCTGTAATGCTAAATACTTTTATCCTGTTGCTATCGTTTTCCGATCTGAAACAGCACCCTATCTTCCAACAATGGAATGTGGTCCAAACAATATTTGAGTGTTTGCAAAAGAATCGCTATTCTTAAAATAGGTTTCCACACCAAAACCACAGCATTAATAACCTCATACCACTATTGTTACTAAAATAGCATAGTTTGATTGAAATTTTAAGCACAGCTGATTCATTGTTGCATGACTATCATGTGACAACAATAAATGGGGTCTCAATGCCTCACCCTGTCTAATGACTTTGTTTTACTAATTCTCATCTCTTTCTTAACTAATTTTCAACTTGGATTGACTCGTGGTTTCAGCCTAGGAGAAGTGTTGCAGTATTCTAGATCACATCGCAACAAGACCTTCATTTTGAAGCCAGACTTGGGCTGTCGAGGACGAGGCATCTTCCTAACACGCAACTTGAAAGACGTCAAGCCATTTGAGAGGATGATTTGTCAAGTGTACATATCAAAGGTAAGAAGATCTTAGGTGAACTTTATATCAACGTTGAAGGAATATTTTGTGTCTCTCCAGTTAGTTGTGAAATTTAATTTCAAAAGATTTTGTAGGTTACAAGAGACATACTATGATTTTGCTTCATGGAATTGATACAGTTTTGCTAAACAAAGATGTTTGAAGGTTTTATTTATCCTTAAGTTATATATACGTTAAGTCAGCTTCGACTACCAATGGACTACCGTAGTTGCGTCTTTCCCGTTATACTTTAGTTAAGGAGTGTACCTATAATTATTTTACAAAAGTTTTCATTTCCAGCCGTTCCTAGTCGATGGTTTCAAGTTCGACATGAGAGTTTACACACTTATTTCTTCTGTGGACCCTCTGAGAATTTACGTATACAATGACGGACTTGCAAGGTAGGTTGGCTTTAAAAGTTAGAATAAATTAATTAATACATTTTGCCACAAGTTAAAGCCTTGAGTGCTGCCTCACGGTATCTGAATAAGTATATGCATGTTAATCAATTACAATTTGTTAAAAAATTAGTGTTTATATAAAATCAGATGTTCTAACAGAGATACAAATAATTTTTTTATCGATTATAGTTATTACATAAAGTAAGATGGTGACTTGGGCTTATTGGTGCACTAGGCTACTTACTCATGCCCTGTTTTTTCATCTTGATGGTAGCTAATTTTTTTTTTGTGTATCCACATCTTTGGCATGTTTAACATTTGTGTTAGGGAATAGTCCAAACCCTGATCTTGTTACTACCTAACGTCAGGAAGCGAGCTGGTCTAGTGGCAGATCGTGGGACTTTGGTTCCCTCGGTCCTAGGTTTAAATCCCGCCAACCACCAACGGATACCGTGACTCCCTCTAGACCTAGCCTGAAGTAACGTTGAAAACAATTATAGATTTGAACCTAGAGGAATTAAAAACAAGTTATCTATTGCTAGATGGTATTATTCATTGACGGCCCAATGACGGATGGCACATTCAGATTTGAAAGCGAGCACTATATCGGCTCAACTTCTAAATATTTCTTTACATGAGCTTCCATGCTGAGTGTTATGGCTCTTGAAAAATATAATCGCTCTTCCACTGTTGTCTATCGCAGGTTCGCCACCAGCAGATATTGTGACCCAGCGCCTCACAACATCACCAACATGTACATGCATCTGACCAACTACTCGGTCAACAAACACAGCAGGACCTACGTTGTGGACGAAGAGGCTGGCAGTAAAAGGTAAAAGCTTGAAAAAGTTGTAAATGCAGTTTTGTTGCGAGGAAAGCGAAAGATTGTCTTTGATCATTAAAAAAACTAAAATGCTCAAAAATCTTTTACTTGGATTATTAAAAAAAAATTCTGGCTTCTCATATACATAAGCATATACAGGGTATTCAGTAACAGTAGGCCTAAGTATCAAACTCCTAGAAATAATTTCAATGGGTCAAAATATAAAGATAGTTAGTAAATTATTCATACAACCTAGATTTCTACATTGACATTTGGATTCCACATTTTATCTGCAATTACAGGAAATTTAACTCACTCAACCACAAGTCATGTTACCTTCCAACTCTCCCGCATTATGCGGGAGTCTCCCGTGTTCTGATGTCCACTCCCGCTTTCAGTAGAAATACTCCCGCATATCTGATCCTATACAAATTTTACATACACAATAGGGAAATTTTTTGAAAAATCTGGAATTTTTTATCGCGTTAACGTTAGGTTGGTAGCTCTGCAGACTCGAAGTCTGCCCGGGCGGGACTGTCGTCTCACTCGTCTATCGTTCTGGCAAAATAGCCAAGTGAGTAGTCTGTTAGTGTTATCTAGTTAGTGTTAGTTTTGTTTTGTCGGTTAAGAAGTAGAGTAGTAAGTGTGTAATGGAGAGTGATTTGGATGAACTGGAACCAAAGGTAAAGCAACTAAGTAAAGTGAATCTTTCAAATACAAAACAAGATATGAAAATGAATGGACTGTTGAATGGCTGAAAGGTCTGTGTTAGATTTTTAGACGTCTGTTACTTTCTAGACGTATATCGACGTTGAACAACTGGTTAGAGCGTAAGCAGTACAACGTTTCCCAGATCTGGGCGAGTATTGACGACATCATAATCAAGACTGTGATAGCTGGACATCCCACTCTCAAACACTCGTATCACGCCTGCTTTCCTTGCCACGACTTTACCTTTGCGTGCTTTGAGATCCTCGGCTTTGACATCATACTCGACTACAAGCTCAAACCTTACTTGCTAGAGGTAAGGAAATATTGTAAGCAAGTGTTTGTTTCAAGTAAAAGTAAGGTTCTAAAGTTGTTTTGAAAGAATGTAACTCTCATGAGCATAGAGATATTCATGTTTTAGACCCAAACCACGGCTTCTTGTTTGAAGTCGTTCTCGTAATATCAAATTTAACATCATCAAATCATAAAAACTGTACAGATGCTTTATATTGATGTATTGTCATCAAGTTTCGAGATTGAAAACTTAAAACTGAAACTGGGAGCATATTTTAACCTCAAATATTGGGCAGTTAATCAGTGTTTTGATCTCATATTCATGCCATTACGTCAGTGTCAAAAGTTTAATTTTTTCAGTATTTGTTTTTTATTAAACTTGATGTTTTTTTTTAGGTTTAAGTGTAATAGTGAAATATTCATGTTATTGTGTCAGAATCAGGAGTCCAATTTATTTCAGATTTGACAGCATAACAAACTTAATTGGCCTGTATATTTTTGTAACCTTAACGAGGAAAGTAAAACAGTCATGTTGGGTTTAAAATTCAAGATTTGCAATTCAATTTTTTCATGTTTCGGTTTTGAGATTACAAATTTCGGGTTTCGACAATCAATAGTGCTTTTATTTCTAAGCTAGACTGGCAGTTTTACGTTTTTATAAGGGAAACGCTCCAAACCATGGTCTTTTTACTATCAAACCTCGACCTGTAGTTAGAAAGCATCATTATTTTTTTAATAAACAAATCTTTATTTTTCTTCGTTGTACATACAAAAACTACATAGATATAATACAATACAGTATTGAAAGCCCTATGACAATGGCATCTTGGTCTGTTAACGATCTCACTTGGTATTGAACCAGCGACCAGATTTGCGCAGCACTATAATGGCGATGCTGTGTACAGGTGAACCACTCACCGAGCTACCACACAGACGCGGAGCTGGATAAGGAGGTGAAGGAGAGTTTGTTGAAGGACACCTTCACTATACTCAACTTGACCAGGTGTGACAAGAGGCGGGTGATGGAGGAAGACAGGCAGAGGGTGAGGGACAGGTTGATGCAAGCTATCGCTACAAGGGCTAATTTACCTGACATGTGAGTATAAAATGTCCCAAGCTGTGGAAGTCTAGGCTTGCTTACATTGTTAGCACAATGTTGCAGTAAACGTCGGCTAATTCGGTGTATGATGGTCCGGTACCATCGGTCTGAAGGTGCAATTGGCAGACGTTGGGGTGGGATCTTCACAGACTTATGTAAAGATTAGCAGAATCAGGTGCGATCGTTCAGTTGTTGATAGCGATCTTTCCGACGTCGAGAGTGATTGTTCAGAGGACCTTAGCAATCGTTCGCAGGTCAGGATCAATAGTTCGGACGTCTGAAGCGATTGTTCAGACATCGGTCGAATTCTTTTTTCAGCAGTACTGTATTTCCACTTCTTTCGTAACAGCGGTAGTGTTTAGAAGACGTTCAACAGTCCAACCATGCCAGTGTACGGAATGTGCCGGATTAGCGTGTGTCTACTTTACCTTTAATTATTATTATGCTAGCCGTGATGAGATCTAGTAGACAGTCGATACCCGATTATCCACAATAATGAGTTGTGAGTGGTCCTGGATAATGCACACCTAACCTAAAATGAATAGGAATTAACTAACATTGACTATGAATAGTTTAGTAGTAAAGCATGATTAGTTAGGCCCTAAATACTAATTTAATGTAATGTAAATATTAATAAATGTAATGTATTGAAACCTTCACATTTACTCATCCTGTACATTTTCAACTTTCTTCCTCTTTATTGGTTCAACTTATTTACTTAGACCTATGTTGTGAGCTTGTGAATAAGAAATTCTTTCTGAGTGTCAAGTCAAAGGACTCTTTCCCGCAGCCAGTCCTTGTTTTTTACCAGTGGCTGGTTCATTATAAAATCATTAATCAAGTAACTATTTTAAGGATTTGTATATTTTTTCTGGTAATAAAAGTCTTGAAACTTACCTCCGATTTTTATACTGTTTTATTAATCTAGAACCTGTGTTAACTTACAAACATTTCCAAGGTCCAAACTGTTGTAAAACATGCGTGACCGTTGTGTGTGCAGGAACCCGCTCGACTCGCTGGCTACACAGATCAAGTGGGAAGAGAGTCACTTGGGCAACTACAGGCAAATCTACCCTTCACCCTCTGACTCCAAATACCAGGTGTTCTTCACACAGACACAGAGCTCGCTGTTCCAGGAGACATTCGCGTCACGGGCCAGGGAGGAGGCAGGGCGGCTGCACAGGGAGGAGTTTGAGGTAACAGACCTTGTGATTGGCAGAGTAGATTGAGTTTAATTTCGTATTACCAGCCATTAATGAAGCCATATTGTACAGCAAAATCTTGTAATAAGCTTTAAAACTTAACCCAATTTAGATATCGACACAGATTTATATTTAACTGCAAAGTTATAGTTAAGTTTGTCATTTCAGATGAAACTGCGAGGCGAAGCCAACTTGCGCATTGGAAACAAGGAGAAACAACCAAACCCAGAGTCTCCGCTGACAAAGCCTAAGATAAAAAAGATCCCAGTGGTGAGTGTATTTAATCGTACCTAGGTTAAAACCATCTTTAACAATGGCCTGGATATCAAGTACATCTCGACAGAGAAAACACTTTTCACTCTGACTTTGCGATTTAAAAAACTATTTTGAAAGTAATAAAACTTGATAAGAAAAGAATTCCTTGATATCAAGTTTCATGACTTCTCAGGTACCTGTATTTTGAGTATCTTTTTGTTTATTTTAGAAAAAGAAAGCTCCCTGCAATTCCTTTGATCCGGTGCCAATCATTGAGGAGGAAGAAAAGGAAAGACAAGCGTTGATGGCTCAAAGAGACTTTCTAGTCAGGAGTTTCAGAGTTGAGGATCAGGTGAGTGGTGCTTTCAGTAATGCTGCCATTACAGATAAGGCTTGTTTTCATTACTACCTACTTACTCCCATGACCATGGATACCCTAGTAGTACGGTGCAATTAGACCTAAACCGGGACATCCAAAAAAAAAGTTTCAAACCAGCGCCAAATTGTTGAATAGACTTCCCTCAATGTGTAAAAAAAAGTTACACTGATTTGAGTGTCGGGTTTGGGGGGGAGGGGGTAAAAATGGGGTTAAAATATGACTTTTTTTACTTTTTCACAAATACCTCAATAACTGTGCGTTTTTCTTCAAATACAATGAATTACAAAAAAAATCTACATTAAATTTCGAACAAAATGATACCATACAATACCTATCTACTATGAACGGGTCAGGAGATATTGGGGGGTAAATGTGATTTTTCCTTAAATTTCTAAAAAAATTTGGTTTTTAAATAGTGAAAAACCATGGACACCCATAGAAAAAGTTTCTAATGAGTGCCAAATTGTTAAATAGACCTCCCTTAATATGTGTAAAAAAGTTACACTGATTTGAGTGTCGGATTTGGGAAGTAGGGTTTAAAGAAAATGGGGCAAAAATAGGACTTTTTTTACTTATTCGCAAATACCTCAAAAACGGTGCGTTTTTCTTAAAATACAATGAATTACAAAAATAACCTACATTAAATTTCGAACAAAATGATACCATACAATACCTATCTACTATGAACGGTTCAGGAGATATGGGGGAATAAATGTGATTTATCCTTAAAATTATAAAAAAATTTGTTTTTAAATGGTGAAAAACCATGGACACCCAGAGAAAAAGTTTCTAATGAGTGCCAAATTGTTGAATACACTTCCTTAAATATGTAAAAAAAAGTTACACTGATTTGAGTGTCGGGTTTGGGGGGGAGGGGGTGAAAATGGCGTGAAAATAGGACTTTTTTACTTTTTCGCAAATACCTCAAAATCAGTGCGTTTTTCTTAAAATACAATGAATTACAAAAATAATCTACATTAAATTTCGAACAAAATGATACCATACATACCTATCTACTATGAACGGTTCAGGAAATATTGGGGAGTAAATGTGATTTTTTTCTTAAAATAAAAAAATTGTTTTTTTGGTTTTTAAATAGTAAAAAACCATGGACACCCATAGAACAAGTTTCTAATGAGTGCCAAATTGTTCAATAGACCTCCCTTAATATGTGTAAAAAAGTTACACTGATTTGAGTGTCGGATTTGGGAAGTAGGGTTTAATGAAAATGGGGTGAAAATTGGACTTTTTTTACTTTTTCGCAAATACCTCAAAAACGGTGCGTTTTTCTTAAAATACAATGAATTACAAAAATAATTTACCGTAAATTTCGAACAAATTGATACCATACAATACCTATCTACTATGATCGGTTCAGGAGATATAGAGGGCTAAATGTGATTTTTTCTGATGCAATAAAAAATTGGCTTTTTTAAATGGAGGAAACCCACGGACACCCATTAAAAAAGTTTGTAATTGGTGCCAAATCGCTAAGTAAACCTGCCTTAACATGTGTAAAAAAGTTACACTGATTTTCCTGCCGGTTGCGGGTAGGAGGGTGTGAAAACGGTGTAGGGAATTTTATTCATAAGTAATTTTGTAAATTTTTGAAGTAACACTTTTTATTTTCCTTTTTAACACATATATAGCGACAATTTAACTAATGACTTACCTACCTGAAACAACAAATCTACCTAGATACGTGAACACAGTGAACTTTCTACCGTTTGATTCATAAGTGTGTTTTATCATTGATTATTTATTAAGTAAAAATATCCGTGTTACAATAGTTATTTTCCTACAGTCACCCGACAAAGTGGGCTTCCTTGCACATATTATATTTAGCAGATTATAGTACAGAAAGCTGCTAATTGTTGCATATACTTACTTTTGTCGCAGTTTTTACGTTGTCGTACGGTTTTTTCCTTTGTCGCACACCAGTATTCCAACCAAACAACACAAAACAGCGTGCTTTTATTATTCACGTTTTATTTTATTAGTAAGCGTGTACGCTTGGAAATAGACTAGCAACACTTATACAAATTTGTAAAATTTTGTGTTTTTAGGGTCAAAAATGGGAAAACCTATCTTTACCCCATAAAACCCCCCATAAACCCCTGTTCCCATAGTCCGATCATGCTGGTTCGCGAACTCGTTCGAATAAATGTAGGTTTACACGTTTGTACCAAATTTCATCAAAATCGGATCATTTTTGAGTTTTAAAAATAAAAATAATTTCAGGGTACTGAGTTAGTATGCTTTCTTTATTATTTATAATAGTAGCCCTTTATCCAAACAATTGTGTGTATATATATATATATATGAATTTGAACGGATGGTGTTTTTTGCCTCTAGGGACCTCAAAACGAAAAAATAAATCGGTCCCGGGTCCAGGTCTTACAATGAGGACCACGGTAATAGCTTATTCCCTATATGGGAAATTCGCTAAAAAAACAACTTTTTTGAATTGAAAGAAAAAATCACATTTACCCTTTAATATCTCCTTACCCGTTAATGGTAGATAGGTAATGTAAGGTATCATCTTGTTCTAAATTTAATGTAGATTATTTTTGTAGTTCATTATATTTTAAGAAAAAGGCACCGTTTTCGAGATATTTGTAAAATAGTAAAGGACGCCCCATTCCCCTCTCATTTCTCAAAACCCTTCTTCCCAAATCCGACACTCAAATCAGTGTAACTTTTTTACACATATTAAGGGAGGTCTATTGAACAATTTGGCACTCATTAGAAACTTTTTCTATGGGTTGTCCGTGGTTTTTCACCATTTAAAAAACAATTTGTTTTATTTTAAGAAAAAATAACATTTACCCCCTAATATTTTCTGAACCGTTCATAGTAGATAGGTATGTATGGTATCATTTTGTTCGAAATTTAATGTAGATTATTTTTGTAATTCACTGTATTTTAAGAAAAACGCACCGTTTTTGAGGTATTTGCGAAAAAGTAAAAAAAGTCCTATTTTCACCCCATTTTCACCCCCTTCCCCCCAAACCCGACACTCAAATCAGTGTAACTTTTTTTTTACATATTTAAGGAAGTGTATTCAACAATTTGGCACTCATTAGAAACTTCTTCTGTGGGTGTCCATGGTTTTTCACCATTTAAAAACAATTTTTTTAGAATTTTAAGGAAAAATCACATTTATCCCCCAATATCTCCTGAACCGTTCATAGTAGATGGGTATTGTATGGTATCATTTTGTTCGAAATTTAATGTAAGTTTTTTTTGTAATTCATTAAATTTTAAGAAAAACGCACCGTTTTTGAGGTATTTGCGAATAAGTAAAAAGTCCTATTTTTGCCCCATTTTCTTTAAACCCTACTTCCCAAATCCGACACTCAAATCAGTGTAACTTTTTTACACATATTAAGGGAGGTCTATTGAACAATTTGGCACTCATTAGAAACTTTTTCTATGGGTGTTCATGGTTTTTCACTATTTAAAAACCAATTTTTTTAGAATTTTAAGGAAAAATCACATTTACCCCCCAATATCTCCTGAACCGTTCATAGTAGATAGGTATTGTATGGTATCATTTTGTTCGAAATTTAATGTAGATTATTTTTGTAATTCATTGTATTTGAAGAAAAACGCACCGTTTTTGAGGTATTTGTGAAAAAGTAAAAAAAGTCCTATTTTAACCCCATTTTTACCCCCTCCCCCCCAAACCCGACACTCAAATCAGTGTAACTTTTTTTACACATTGAGGGAAGTCTATTCAACAATATGGCATTGGTTTGAAACTTTTTTTTTTGATGTCCCGGTTTGCTCTTTTTTTAAGCTAATTGCACTGTACTATAGGTGGTATTTGGCCTCACCAATACATTGCCTCCATAAACACATTGCCTCCCTGTTTCCTGAATCTTCTTGCCTAGCTTTTGCAAATCTTTTTCCACCTGGTCCTTCCAATGATCCTTGGGTCTTCGTTGGGGTCTTCTTGCCACTGGGTTTTGCCTCCAAACTTCTTCACTTAGTCTGCAATCTTCCCTCCTAAATAGGCCAGCCCACCTTAGTCTTCTGCTCTTGGCTTCTCCTACTATGTCTGGGGAGTGGAACATTTCTCTGATTTCTTCGATGTGCCTGATTCTCCATCCATCTCCCTCTTTAACAGGACCAAATATTTTCCTCAAAATTCTATTTCAAAATTAAACCTACTTCTTTCCTGTTTGTTTGTCTGTAACCAATAAATCAATCTTTATTTGCCATAACCCATGTATATGCTCCATAAATGTTTCATTACACCCGAAAAAATTGTTCTGAAGGTTTCTTTTTGTTAGAAATCACCAATAAACGTTGTTTCTTTGGATTAGATTTTAATTTGAAATGGTGATTTTAGATTCTCTAAGTATTAAGTTGAATCAATGACTGTTGTATACTAACTATTGTATCAATCTAGTGCTCGCCTAGTATTCAGAAGGTTGTCGGTTAGATCCTGAGAAAAGTCAAAATCTTGTTAATAGTTTGAAACTAGAGCCAGATATCCTTGATCATTGGTCTTGAAAACACTTCTTTATTTCAGGTGAAGTCTGTTTTGAAAAACATGAGTTTCGATAGACAGAAAAACAACGAAGGGACAAATGATCACAGAGAAGACAGTTTGAGTAACTTCCATCCTCCGTTACCTCCGAGAAAGTTGTGTTCCTTACAAACGAAGCAGAACACCGTAGAGAACTGTTCAAACAACTCCCAGGTGTGAAATTGTTGTTTGATTTGTTAAAATTGAATTTGTAAATTAAAATTGTCAAATGAATTGTTTTTTTTTTTAATATTTTTGTTAATAAATTATTCTATTGTGTTTTTGAAATGAGTTTTTGATTAGTCTATGGTATTAGAGCAGGTTATTTTCATTGTTGCAGAAACTGAAAGAAAACTCAGTCAATTGTCAGCCAGTTAAAGGAACCGTTATTGAACCGCCTGTTTCATTGAGTAAGTATAATTTTGTTTTCTGTGAGGAACTATTACTCTTATAAGACCATAAAGAAAAATGTTTTCACATCCATTTTTACACTCCCTGACTCATGTCCGCATTTTACCCTTACTCATTGCAATAGGTCCATAACCTTCGGTCATCTGGTGACAAATGTCAGCATTGGAAAGGTCTCTCGTGTTAAAAAAAAATCGTATGACTGACCTTATCTTGCATGTGGTGGGACATTTAATAATTAGACAAATTTAAACACACACCAAATCGTACTTGTAACTACAGAGCTAATGTTGCTGTACTGTTCACAAATGATGCTAAGAGCAAAGATCCGCCTTGTTGTGGTGTACAAGCAAACTACGGAGACATACGCAAAAGCGGCCCTTACTTAAAAAACGTCCCTCATATCACGATCCACATTTATCAGATAGAATTATATGTAAAGATTATCTTAAGATCATCCACAACAGAGTATATCACAGCTGTGTCTAAGGAATATGTCGGCCTTAGTCACTAACAAGACTACAAGATCGCGCCACTCATCCTACACTCATCTCCATTCATACTTGGCTTAAAATACCTACTTTGTATGGTCGCCATTTCACTAAAATGTATTAAAGTAAAGTAAGTAAAGTATGCTGCAATATAAACGTTACTCGACTGATCAATACTGTGTTTTACAGATGCCAAGGGCAAGGCTGAAGCTTATTTCAACGACAGGTGGCACACTCCTAAGAGTCTAAGTGCCAAACCATCTTCAGTGTTTCCTCAAAAGTTGACTCTCAAACCATCTATCCCTGGTTCGTATTTGCCTTGAATACTTTTGATTTCTTTGATCCTATTGTGGATTCATTGAAAGATCTTTTTTCCGTAAGAATACTTATACTCTATCTCAATCGTCTCTATTCCCTACAGTTCTTAAAATATTTATTATCCGTTTTATTATTAACAATAGATCATAATAATAATAGTATTACACAGTGAAACCTCACTGACTCGACAATTTGTAGAACTAGAGGTTTTTGAGTTTTGAAGTCGATGAATTATACAGAACCTTGAAATTTTAATGTGTTTTAATAAATGAATACATATCAGACTATTTATTAACATAACAATTTATTACTTAGATGAATTTTTATATATTGAGTAATGTGGAATATTCAACAATTAAAACTAAATGTTCTAAACATTTTTTTGCGTGCACCTTGTCAGCTGTTGACTGTCGAGTTAGTGAAGTTTTACTCTACTGTACTTATAGTTTTAATTTTCTAAGCAGTTACAGTGTTTTGGGTAATCTCTTACAAACCTTGTCGTTATCATTGCCATGCAAAAATTCTTTGTAGCAATTTCAGAAGATGACTCATTTCTTGTTTTTATCCTTGTTTAGTCGTCTTTTTACACCACCAATTTTTTTCAATGCTGCTCGTAAATGTGTTTCTAGAGTGTACCTTGTAATTTCTATTTTTTGTCTGCTTGTCAACAATAAAGATGTCTGTCTATTAACTAGTCGATTATAAAAATGCTTGTACTAAATTGAGTTATCATTGTAAACTGGTTTTTTAAATAAATGAATTGAATTGTACAAACGATGTACATGGGCTGCAGGACTGCAGGTGATGTGTAACGAGGCGACCATCAGAGTGAGGCCTGACTTGCCGGCGTCGGCGCAGTGGCCCACAGTCGGCGCAAAGAGCACCAAGACTCATATCGCGAGACACTTCTCAAACACTGTCAAGATTCACGGACTAGAGCGACGACTCAGCAACGAGAAGTTTATCTTCCAATGACACTTGCTCAATTCATTTTTGCTCAGTGTTTTTACGTTTGTTGTATTGGATTTTGATGAAATTTACTGTTGAAATTAAAGAGTTTAGAGTTCAAATGTTTTTTTGTACCATAATTATTTGTGTGTGTATTTTTGTCTTTGTATATTTGACTCATAGACACCTAACCTAGCCTTTAATTTTTAGTCACATTTGCAAGAGAATTGGGGCTAGTCTTGTTTTTTGGAGGGGAAGTTGCTTGTTTTGAGAAGGTAGCCCTAGCCTTATTAAAATGTTTAGTAACAAGGTTTAATTACAATCTTTTTTTTAAAAGGTCGATGGCCTCTTTTACCTTGTATTTATTTGTACATGTCTACTAGGCCACAGAAGTGTGCGTGATACGTATTCAGCAAAGCAAGTTGTGAGCCGATCTTGTACAAGGGTGAAGTGTACTGATAAAAAAGTAGTGGCAGATACCAGGATCGAACCCACGACATCCATACCTTGGACCCGAAGTCTTGTGGACCCACTGAGCTACCGATTCATCACCTTGTGTTTTTTTTACTTTTTTAATTTTTGTGTTCTATATTGTTCGATTTTGATTATTGTAAGCTCTCAAGATGTGTAATCATACTTTTTATTCTTATTAATAACTTTTATGCTACACTAGCTAGACATGCACCCAATTTAGGAAGGCAAATAACCAATTAAGCTTTTCCTTTTGACAGCCTGAGTTCAGGAGTCTCAAAAAATTAAACATTACTATATAAACCCATCGACTACAAACTCAAACAACAATTTTGATAAAATAATACTTTTTTGTCTTACTGCAGCAAAAACAGCTGTTTTTAATAAATGCGTAGCAGGTCTAAAGCAGCTCTTTTACTCCCTAGGTAGTAGAAAACCTTTTTGGTCCTTAGAAAGTAAAAATCAGCTCAATCACAGGTGTCCATTGTTTTAATCTGTTGCAGCTTAGTGTAGCATTCTTGTTAATAGTTTGACTTATTGATATTGTAATATAGGCTATTCATTATAATGTAAGAAATCAAACAATCAAATCACTTCCTAAACAGGTGCTTGTTTACACTTAAAAAATGTTGAACAAGCTGGAAGTCGTACTGAAGGGTTATCTTTACATGAAAAATATTTTTGTTTTGTAACTTAGTTTGCTTAAATAATTATGCAACCGTCGTTCATTTGGAAACTTGAGATCGGATCGAAATGAGACTTTATGCCCTTGTGATGAAATCTACCTTTTTATATTTTCTAAGATCAGAAAAAAGTCAAATGCTTCAAAATATTATTTTGTAAAGTAAACTTTTAATTAAAGTGTTTAATTTTCTAATCCCAAAAGAATATAAGTGTAACAATTTCAGAGTTTTAATCACTACAGACAATGAACTATTAGAACCAAGCTAAATAGGTTTTAGGAACCAATTTTAAACACACCTGATGAAGTTGGACGTCACAAAACATCTGCTTCAATTTTCCCACACATTGAGTCAACCCAGTTGTGCAACCGGCGTGATCTAGGTGCTATGGAACAGGAGTCAAATATTTATGGAACAGTAGTTAAGGTAAATCAACATTTCAAGCAACTGTCAAAAATATTAGTTCTGTGAAATAATTAAATAAACAAAATTCATCAGTACTTTTCAAACGGTGATTTAAACTCGTTAACTATTGATCTCTATAGTTATTAGGTGTGTGTCTTTAAAGAATTAATTTATGTACTTAGTTTAGTAAAGTTAAAGTGAATAAATTCTGTACTGCAAGTTAGGGATTTCTCTTGAAGAATTTAACAGATAACAAAATACAGCAATATTCAACTTATAAGTTGAAATTTTCTTTTCTTTTCAAGTACTAAACGTAATAATATTTATGCTGCAGTTATTTATGTGATTATTTATGAATTACGCAACTCTGATTACGTAACATTTGATACCTATAAGGTAACCATTGACAGTTAAAATAATTGTAATTTTTTGTTTAATCAAACAAATATCTTCATAAAGAGTTTTGTTCTTTTATTCCAACTGTTAAATTAAATCCTAAATTGTTTTCAATACTCAATAATAGTTTTTTTTAATGTAGAGGTTTTTCATCAATTTAATTTGATGAGTTCGTTGAGTAGCCTATATCAGAAAAGGATGAAGTAAGAATAGTAATACTTAAAGAAAAACTATGAGGAAATTCATTAATATAGGTACTATAAAGATACAGTTACTAGGAGTAGGATTCTGAAACATAAGGTAGCCTATAATAGAGTTAGTTGTTTTGTGGGCTTAGACCTTAAAAAAAAAAAACTACTTTAGAGTAATCTATTTGACTTTTCAAGTTAATTAATTGTCTGAATTAAAACTCCTAAATTTGTTTAAATTTATCTCCTTTGGCCGATTATTGAGCAATGAATTAACAACTAATGATGTTGTTACAGAGAACTGTAATGGAGGAAGGACTATATTACTCCAAATGTTTTACTTGCACACATTCCCCTGACACTATTCATCACACAAAAAAGGTATTTAGTACTTTATGATTGTCTTACAAAAGAGAACTTCTGTGATTTATTTGTTAGTAATTAACTGAAAAAATAATTTCAAAGTTAGATGCACCACATCAAAGTATTAGTATATGTAAATGTTGACTTTCCCACTCTTCACGTCAGAATCAGCATTTGTTTCATTAATTATTAAGACAGATAAATAATTTCTCAAAATGGCAGTACGCTAACTTTTGGACTGTAATTTATATAGGTTTGGAGATGTACCATTTTGTTTAGAGAAGGACCATAACATACTAAATTTTAATCGAAATCCATTGAGGCAGTTTTTTTATGAAAATCTGATTTTTCTGGAAATTTTACTAGGGTTAAAAATTTGCTCAGACTCATGTTTGTGTGTGTGTGTGTTTTTGTTTTGGCCCTGGACCAAGTTAATGAATGACATGTCCACAGCCAGGGAAATGGTCTCATGTGTTACTCCTGTCTGTTATCTTCCTCTCTCTCGGAGGTTCGATCCCCGTCGGTTACATTTGTGGAACCAGCACCAACCCCTATCATGTAAGTGAACTTTCATCCAAGCACGTAACTTTTATATCAATTAATGTGACATTTACCTTAAAAACCTTTTTCTGGTTTCATCATGTTTGTATGTGCCATTCATAAAAAATATATTTATTTTACATTATTTTATTAATTTGCGTTTTACAAATTTACCCTTCCCAGGTTGAAGACTCTTGGGTAGAACTGCCGATGTCCAACCTCCGCACACTGTTGCTGGTGGGGGGAGTCGTCGGAACTGGTGTGTCGGCAATCTTGACTGACTGGGCGGGCAGGTAAGACATGGCATGCTTTTAGCTTATTTTGTGCTGTGTTAGCTAAAGATTTTTTTTCAATTCATAATCAAGTCTAAGTATGTTAACCTGGTTTCCGTTGGTCTGGCACTTTCAATAATCCAGAATTGGTCGCAAGGTTTGAATGGTTTTTGTTTTTTTTTTTTTTTGTATGAAACTTTAGCACAATAGGCAGGCATAGGGAGAGATCCGCATAGGTCAGGAGCTATCTTTCAGGCGTTGGTTTATTCAATGTTCAATAATCACTATTCTACATAAATAGGTATAAAGTTTATGAATATGGTTAATTAGCATGTATTAATATGGACAAATTACTAGTTCATTTGTTTTTTGTCATCTCAAATTATAAAAAAAATGTTGGACGCTCCAATAAAAATCGTGATACCGAACATTACTGTAATATGTTCTAAAATTACCAAAAATTTCTAGATAACATCGAAAGTACCTTACCCAAAAAAGAACAGTATAGTTTAACATAATTTTTTTCTGGTGGATTGTATATTCAAGTATTATTCTATATCTTATTTATGAAATGTAATTATTCATATTTGACGACTGAGATGTATGTGTCATATGTTTGTTATTATGTAATATTGATTTGATAATTAAGATCATCTGGAGGTTGTTGTATTTTTGTATTTACAAATAATTCAGATGTAACATTTTATTCCTAGAATAAAAGTTTTTAATACACTATAAAACTTCATTATTTGACAGTTTCGCTCCTTGGAAGCAAAGACCTCGACACAATACCAGCTAGGATTCAGAGATTCAAAATGCGATTGATGAAATTTGACTACTCCATCGAACACATTCCGGGAAAAGAAATGTTTACAGCAGACACATTAAGCCGAGCGCCGATCCCAGATTCTACAGATGAGTTCACAAAAGAGGTAGAGGCACACATTAAGGTAATATCTTTAAACTTTCCAGCAACACAGTCAAGATTGGAACAAATAAAGAATGCCCAGATCCTGTGTGAAGAATGTCAGATGTTGGTGAAATACACAGAAAATGGATGGCCTGAATATAAGAAGGATGTGCCAGAGAGAATGAGAAAGTGGTATACGTTTAAAGACGACCTATCTCTAATAGAAGACTTGATTTGTTATAAAGAAAGAATTATCATCCCATTTGAACTTAGAAAGGATATCATGAGTAAACTGCACGATGGTCATTTCGGGTCAACACGCACAGTCCTCCGAGCGAAACAATCTGTGTTTTGGCCAGGAATTACAACAGAGATCCATAACCTGATTGAAAATTGTGACACTTGTGCTAAACACCAAAATCAAAGGTCAGAAAAAATGATTCAATCAGACACTCCTGACTATCCATGGCAAAGAATAGCCATTGATTACTTTGACTTTGTGAAAGGCAAGTACTTGGCTGTTGTGGACTATTATTCACGATACTTGGAAATGATAAATGTGTCCACTATGACTGTAGATGAACTAATCAAGAAAATGAAAGCCTGTTTTGCTCGACATGGGATCCCTGAAATCGTCATTTCTGATTCTGGCTCGCAGTTTACAAGCTCAGAATGGAGAGCATTTGCAGCCGATTTTGGGTTTAAAACTATTTGTTGTAGTCCCTTACACCATCAGGCAAACGGTGAAGCTGAAAGAGCAGTCCAAACGCTTAAAAAGATGCTTACAAAGAACAAAGACCCCACTCTTGCATTACTGGAGTACAGGTCAACACCAGGTCCATCAGGGTACAGCCCTTCGGAATTGTTGATGGGAA